CATCCTCATAAATCTTATACCATGCCAAGTTGTTATATTTTAGAATTATAAACGTTTTCTCCAAGGTCTTCTATTCTATTGAGTTTAACAGTTGCATTTTTCCTGTCATAAATAATATCGAGAGTGTATTCTCCTCGTCAATGTTATACTGTTTTGCATTATCGATATAGATATCGTTATTTTTCTGAAAAGCTTGAGAGTGTTTTTCTAAGTTTACAAGCAAACTAACTTGTAAAAGTTTCCCTGTCAAATTTCTCAACATACTATCTTTTTCTTTTTATAGTATCGAAACTTCAAAACCGACCGTAAATGGGAAACCATGTATGGCTCTGAAATGAACTTCATTCTACGAAAGCCAATAGCTTTTGTGACAGATGGGTCTCTTAGCCATCTTAATTGGGAGTTAAAACAATAGCCTTCATGCTTTACGTCTCTGTCTCAAACTTTTGACCGACATTAGTAAAAAGTTCATCTAATGGTTTTGTTGTAGCAACTCTTGATTTCTTTTTCTATTGAAAGCATATTTATCTAGAATAAAAATGTCAAATGAGAACAGCGTCTATGAGAGAAATACAACACAACCGACAACTCATTATGCAAGCTCTAAAATAAGAACACAACAAACTTTTCAAACTATTCTAAGATATCTGAGTCATTGAAAGAAGAACTTTAAACTGACATTAAACCTTTACAGATGCAGTTTCTATTTCAAGACAAGAAAGAACAATACTGTCTGTATAAATCCAACAAAGAAACTTTAAACGAGAAACCTATAAATGGAACTTCTTTTTTCCTCTTCCTACGGTTTTTATTCCATTCCATATACCTCTTCCAACATTTCGAAAGAAGTTTCCTATCTTACTGAAGAAACCCATTTTACTATATGTAAAAATCTAATGTCCGCCTAGTCTCTTACGTTTCCTGTTGAGTTCCATAGCATTCTTTAACTGGAGCTCATACATTCTGTTTCTCCTCTGGTAGAAAACATATTCTGGGTCAACTCCTGTGTTCGCGTCATCTGCATAAAGTTGTTTATATCCCACTTCAGGGTTTGTATAAAACTCTTTCCATCTCATATTTGCATACCATGGTGGCAAACCTAACGCAGCGTCATTTGACATGGCAGTTTGCATTTGTACATCTGTTGGCACTTGACCATAGTTTGCCATTGCAGTTTGTATTCTAACTTCATTTGGAATATTCTCTGGGTTTGGTTGTCCAGGTTGCTGTGCATTCGCTAAGTTCTGTGCGTCCATTTAATATTAGATAAAAATATCTCTTACGAGTACATATGCTGAACATTTGCAGGCATTGGTTCATCTTCATATTCTCTATATCTTTCTGCCACGTCAAATAAATAAATGACACAATGGAAAAAACCTAAAACAAGTAGTCCTATTTCAAACCACATTTACTTACTAATAAAATTTCTTTGTTATGACACTTTCTCCGGTTTATAGGACCTCTCTCATATTCTATCTTGTCATATCTAAACTCATAGTCATGTATGTCCTCTAACCATCTCATAACGGTTTCCAAACCACTTTTATCGGATGTAAAGTAAAAGCATGGATGGTTATGTATAACGTCTAAAGTTTCTAAAGAGTCTCTCAAAGTCCAGTCTACTTGGTATTGAAAATCCCATGTGTTATAGAACGGCGGGTCCACTATAAAGAAAACATTTTCCTTGTCTTTATATTTTTCATACAACTCTGTCCAATGACATCTCACAAACTCTATACCCTCAATATATTTTTCTATGTCCTCTTTGAAAACATTTGTATAGTTAAGATATAAAACTTTTGACATAAGTGTTTCAATGTCATGAACTCTTATAGAACCACTATATAATAGTCTAGCAGATATACTATCCCAGTCTATATATTCTGCTTTTTTCAAAACCTCTCTCACAATATTTTTGTTATCTAATGGTATACGTTCCATCTTACCTATAGGTATCTTTTCTTTTAACTCTTTCAATATATTGTTTGTGTCTGGTATATGTTTGAGACGGTCCATATAGTTGTCGAAGTCATTGCATATAATCTTTGAGTCTGGGAATATTGTATGACATAAATGGGATATATAGAAACTTCCACCGAACAAATCTACAAATGTTAGACCATTCGGTAGTTTCTTAAGTTCTCTCAATATAATATCTTTACATTTACTCTTATTTCCAAAGAACGGTAACGGTGGTTTTGTAAAATTCATTTATATATAATAATAAAAATGTTTTTTCCTGAAAAGTGACAGAAAAGTGACAAAACATGAAAACATATATAATTTGTGAAAAGCGACACATTATATAATGTTTTCGACCCAGAAGACTAACAATTTCCGAATATAAACTTCATTTATACTAAACATCTTCAGGGCTAGAGGGCGCAACGCGCCTGGAAGCCCCACTACCTTTTTTTTTTTTTTTTTTAAATCAATTAAATACTTTTTGAAAACATTCAAAAAGTATTTAGTGATGCGAATAATTTCGGTCAGAGCCTTTTCCAAAAGCGCTAATGCAGTCAAATCAATAATGCAGGGATTTAGATACTGAAACATTATAAGTTTCATTCTAAATTTTAATAAATTTTGTAAAAAATTACAATGTTAAAAATATGAGTGAAAAATTAATTTCCAAGCATATCGTAATGACATTAAAATCCATATATCATATTAAGAAAATGTTATTAACAAAATTGTATATAATTTGCAATCAAAGTTGAAATTAGAGACATAATCAGTTAAATGTTTAATAGCATTATCATGTTTACTAATATTTGTCGAATTGAATTCCTCCCTTTTAATAAATTAAAGGAAATATCTTAAATTCAAAATTTAAAATCGTAAATTAAGATCGTTCTAATTTATTCATAATGAAATTAGCGATTTATAGATAATTACTATATATGTATCCCATATAGATCATTTAATTTGGCATTTTTTTTTAGATTTGTGAAAATTGTTTAATTTTATTTGCAAATCTGCTTTGATTATGCAACTGTCACCTGTAAAAGATATTTAACATGACAAAATTTAATTCTCACATACTCATAAACTACAAATTAGAGAGCAATTTCCTACAAATATATTTATAAGAGGTATTTTAGGCTTATAAACATTTATTATCTGCGACTTGTTCTTAAGATATTTAGATGATCATTTTATGCATTTCAATGTACTTGAAAAAGTAATTTATTACGCAAAATAAGAAAACAATTTCAACTCAACTCCGAATATTTTTTTACAATATTCTCATTTTTTTCTTTGAACGATCAACGCAAATTAACGACGAAAAAGTTTCTCTGCAACAGCTATAATCTATATATCATCAATGGGAGATAAGCACGTTATAAAATAATAACAAAATTCAGAAAATAATTCTCAATTTGGCATCATGTGAATTGAAAATTTTCAATGATAATTCAAATTCAGAAAAAGCACATCGGGAAAAATGAAAAATATAAAAACGAATTCAAGAAACAATATGTTACTTTTTTTTATTTACCATAATTTTTGGATTAGAGTTCAAAAAATTTATATTAAACAGTATTTATAATATACTGTAACAGCTTAAAATAGCAAAATAAGGTCAGGTAAGTGGGGCTTCCAGGGGCTGCGCCCCTTCTAGCTCCTAAAAAACCTAGAGGAGGACTGACCCCAAGACTCCGATGAAAAAGAAAGATATTTAAATAAAATAAATTTTTTTAATCTTAAATAGTTTTTTACTCAGTATAATCTGAGTCTTTAACATCTTCAAATGTTTGTTCCTCTTCATTATCCGAAGATATAATTTCCTCGACTTCTTCTTCGTCATCTGGTGCTACGTGTCCAGCTATAAATACTTTGTAGAGTCCATCTGGAGGTGTCTGTATTATGAATGTGGTATCGTGTAAGAATACAAACTCAACATCCTGTTTGAATTGGCAATTTGAATGAGTGAATTCTGCCAATTTTATAGGATGTCCTTTGGTAGCTTTCGGGAAGCTTGAAATACTAACTTTGCTACCGTAGGGAACTCTTTCTGGTGTATCTAATGCTATAGTGGATATGACATGGAAATTGTCTTGAAATTCTGGTAAAGATTGTATACAATATAACCGTTTTGACTGTCCTGGATTGGTAAAAAAGTATACGTAAAAGGACCTTTGCCCATACTCATCCAATTCTTCGAGATAGTTGTAGGTATTGGGATATATGCTGACATACTCAGCAATTTTCACATTTTGCAAATAAGTTTGCATATTTTTGGGGAAAAGTCTAATAAATTGGTCGATGGCTTGTAGTGCAATTAGGTTTGCTGTAACAGGCAAGTATTGAACAAACAAGTCCACGAGAACACCTGGGTCTTTAACTTCATTTTCAACTGGTTGCAAACTATCCATAACAGACTGAAACACTTCCGAATAATCGGTGTCGTCTTGAATTCCCCATTGGTTTTTGAGTTTTTCAAGGAGTTGAAGTCTTTTTTTAGCATATTGCCTGCGAACACGTTCAGATATGGTAGTGTTTTCTTCTGTATTTTCTGTATCTCCTGATTGAAATTGCTTCGCGAACGCGAGGTATCTCATCTGGGACCTTGTCGTCATCGATGACGCGCTTGGTTGTTCCTCTGTTGTTTCGTTTGTTTGTATGGTATTTTCTTGAGTAGATTGTCTTGAATTGTTGGACAATTGGTTTGCAATTGGAGAAGACTGTAAAACTTGTCCTGTTGTGTCTGGTACAACTGTATCTGTTGTTTCGTTTGTTTGTATGGTATTTTCTTGAGTAGATTGTCTTGAATTGTCCAACAATTTGTTTGCAATTGTATGAGGAAGTTGTTTTGGTATTATAGGAGGTCGTAAGGGTTTTGAGAATGGTGAGACATAAGTTGTAGGAACTTTAACTGCAGAGGTAGTCGACGAATTGTTTGCGACACTTGTTCTTCCTTCCATTATGAAAAATGAACTGTTTTTTTCGGACCACTCATAGAAAAGTTTAAAATAAACCGTTTTCGTCAACGGAGACCCCTCTATTTTTTTATTTTATTTAATAGTTACCGTTGGAAAACCGTTCCATCTCAAATATTGAATGAACTATAAACGTTTTTTGTTTTCTATATATACTTTTTTGTCCAACGGTAAAACTTTTTGCACAACGGTTTTTGAGAGTCGTCGCTGTTGACTTTTTTGTAGAGCACTCAAAATAGTATAACTTTGTCCGGACAAATAAGGGTCTATCGTCGCTACAGGAAAAGTTACGGGCGTTCCAAGGAAGTATACTTTGAGAAGCCTTTTCTCCTTATAGAATGAGATAGGACGGTTATTTTACAAAACTGACAACACTTTGACCGAGTAGTTTTTTGTGCTAAACAAAAAGTGTCATATAAACATCTGTCAAAAACCGTTTTTTACTTCACTTAAAATGCCACGTAAGCTACGTAAGCTACGTAAGAATATACGTAAGAGGAAGGGAGCATTGAAACATCCAATAGTAAAACTGACACCACAACAACAGTTGCAACAACAAATGATGAATGACCCCACTATGTTGCAACAAATGTCAAGCAACCCTATGCTTTTAAACCGAGTTATTGGTGCACAGAGTGGAGGTTTAAGAGCGGCACTTTTAGCGAAAATGGCAGGCTATGGTGGAGCTGCAGACGGAACAGCTTATAACCCTCAAAGTCAAATGAATTTGAGTTCACTCAAAAATCAAATAACAGATGTCAAAAAGTCAAACATAGACATACAGAAACAAATAAGTGAAAACGAAAAGAAACTAGAATATGACAGACACACAAAGAAACTCAATGAGTTAAACGTAGAGAAAAAGAAGAAAGAAGAACAACTGAAAGAACTAAGTACAGAGGAATATGCGAAAAAAGTGTCAGAAAAAGCAGCAGAAGTAGCAAAAATGGAACAAGATGTTATAAATTTGAAAAACCATACTACTCAATATAAAGTACTGAAAGATGAAGAGATAAAACAAAAAGCCCTGAAGACATATATGGATAGCGATGAGTATAAAAAAGAAGTTGAAGCAAATGTAAAGGCAGAAAAACTTTTACAGTTGCAAAACCAAACCGTACAGTATGAAAACTTAGCACAAGAAAGTAAAAATAACGACGCAGCCATGCAAAAGGCAATGAAAAGCGCAGAATATATAAAAGCTAATAATGACTGGTTAGATGCCCAAGCCAACGCTAAAGCAGCCCAACTTATAGGGTCAATAAGGACAAAAATACAAGCGGATGAAGACAGTTCAAATGAAGCTTTAATGAATGCTGACTTTAAGAATGCCTTCGAAGCTCTTCATAGTAAGGTGAAACTAGTGAACGACTTCTCATCTGGAAAGAAACTGAAGTCTGAAGGTTTCGACAAAGAGTTAAGAGAAGTAGCACAAAATATGACGAAAATAACAGATGCAGCAACGAGACAGGCAGTTCAAAGTGCCTATGACGCCGTTAGAGCAACTGTTGTGGAAAGTCAAGAAAAAGAGTTACAACAGACCAAAACAGACCTAGTAAATGCTTTCTTAAGAACGAAAAGTCAGGTAGGACATTATGCTGCAGATGGAACATATGTGCCAGCTGGTGGAACTTATATACCACCAAACCCTCCAAGAGAAGCACCTGCACCAGGACTACCTAAAACATTTACATCGTCACATGGACACAGACACAGGCATGCACCAAAACCAACACAACAACCAACAGTTCAAAATCCAGCACCACAACAACAACCAAAACCAACAGTTCAAAATCCAGCACCACAACCAAAACCAGCACAACAACCACCTCCACAACCAGCACAGCAACCAACAGTTCAAAACCCTGCACAACAACAACCACAAACAGAGCAAGGACATAAAAGAAGTAGAGAAAAAGGAAACCAAGAATTCTTAAAAATGCTTAAGGAAGATTATGGTTACCCAGATACTCTTGACTTTAGTGACAGATATAAAGAAGCTATTAGAAAGTTCAAGGATGGAAATACTGACCCGAACCTATTTAGCTTTATGGCTCAGCACCAAAACGGATATAATCTCAAACCTGGAAAATACAAGCTCGCTAAGGGATATGATTTAATAGCATATCATCCAAATGACATGAATGAATTTACTCCGAGATATTTGGTGTCAGAGCTAAATGATAATTCAACTCTCTTCATGAAACGCGTAAAAAATAGAGACGGAACGAAAGAAGAAAGGTTTATGAGTCCGGATGACTTAGATAGGGAACTTGTTAAAAACGGTCTCGGAATATATGAAATGCCAGCAGATGAGGTACAAGAAACTCCACAGGAAGAAGTTCAGATACAACCAGACATGGAAGAAATAGTTCAGCAACAACAGCTAGAAGAGCCTGAAGGAAACGAACAAGTCCCTCCTTTGGAAACTAACTTCACAGAACTAGATGAAGATTTGGAACAGCCGAAAAATCTTGACCCTCAACAAGTGTATGCGGAGAATATGGAATCTTTCCAAGAGTCTAAGAAAAATTCGGCTGACATAGTAGAAGAATATCGAAAAATGTTCGCCGACATACAAAAGACTCCAACATCAGATGAAAATATTCAGCATAGAATGGAAGTACTGAAAGAAATGTACGCAAATACAATAATCCTTTTTACTTACGACCATATAACGTTCAATCTTTGGCTGAACTCGGTGAAAATAAAAGGTTAAATTTCAACAAAACATATAGAAATGAAACATTGTTTAAAGTTCATTCAGAACCTAACCAATATGGAAACAAACCTACTTTTGTTTCTGCAGACTATGGAACTACAATGAGATGGGGTCATAAAGCTAATCCGGATAGGTGGTTCATAAACTTACAACCTCAATTCCAAGAAGTTGTAGACGCAATGGAAGTGAATGGTGAACCAGATATAGCTGGTATTTTCAGCGCGGCTTTAATGCCATTGAAAGATATGAAAGATGCAGATATTTTGGACCAGTATGAAATGAACATGGCTGATGGAAATATAACACCTGACGTTCTAGAACATTTATCTCAAAGAACTACACAGAACCATAGAGATGGTATATTTGGTGAAGAGTTTAGAAAGAAAGTTAGGGAGAGAGAAGGAAGAGAACCTATTGTACATGACCTTGCAAACGAAAGTTTACAAAATGTCATAAAAACTTACTTTGCAGACAATGAACCGAGAAGGGATGAATATTTAAGAAAACTCAAATGGACAGTACCAAATGAAATGTTAGTATTGAAAAACATGTTCCTTGACAAAATAAAACCAACTACAGAAATAAATGACGCAAGACTGAAAGATTGGGTAAAAGCTTTCCCATTCACAAAAGATATTATTGGTAACATGGAAAGAAAACCAGAATGGCTACAAAAACATATATTTGGAAACGAGCTTATTCCATATGGACAAGCTCTGTTTGAAGAGCTTGAACCGGAAACTCAGGAAAGAGTCATGCAAACAATAGCGAAGACTCAAATACAAACTATGACAAAATCTTTCTAGGATATAGGTTACCTGAGATGGGCGACCAGAGCCCAAAGGCAAAAAGGACATGGGAAATTTACAACATACTAGGTGAACATGAGGCAAAGATGCAACAACTTGAAGCAGAGGGCAAGTTACCAAAAGCGACACCAAAGAAGAAGAGTAGAACAAAGTGAAAGTAGTGAAGAAGTAACTTCATCTAGTGAAAGTAGTGGCAATGAAGGAAAAAGAAGAGTTAAAAACTCAGTCAGGAAGAAAGTAAAGCTTGGTACGAGTGGGTTCTATTATGACATATAAATCCAACTATTCTATATTTTTACCCATATGAAATGTACGCCGCTCAGAATATAACGCCAACAGTTTTGGATGCCATGAACGGAAATGTTTCCGAATGGTATAACGAATGCGACAATGCCATTAGAAGGTCAGAAATAGTTCCTGGAACTTACGAATATACAACTGCTGTTTCTTATGGAAACGTAGGTGAGTTTGGAGAAGGTTCTTCAACAACAGTAGATATTGCTTGCGACAGGTTTCATATTATTTCTATTGACAACTCATTCTTATACGTGGAACAAGACATTGAAATAAAACCTTCTGCCAAGTTGTCTGACAAGAAAGGTTGCAATGGAATTTTCTATGTCGGATACCAATATGCTCCAGAAGTTTTCATGGGATATAAGATATATTCTAACTCTGACTTAGTTCAAACAGTAACATGGGCAAACTATGAATGGTTCGCTTTGAGAAACTCAGTACAACCACAAGCTAGAGAACAAACAGACCAGTATGCAACTATTGAGAAAATAAGAAGACTTGACCCTAACGTTCCAGGAGTTTATGTTAACCTTTCTGGACAAACTGCAGCAGCAGTAACCAAAGTAAAACTGAAACTTAGAGTTCCTTTGTCATCTTTCCTCATCTTCAGGTTTTTAAGATACTTGCCAAACTGGGCAGGAAAAATTTCTATCGAACTTACTCCAAGCAAAAATAACTTAGTCATTGCACCAACACAAGACCCATTCACATTACTGTAGCTGGAACTGGTGGATCAAGTTCTGTGACTTTTGCAAAGACAAAGTTGACTTAGACTTTGGTTTCTCAAACCTCAACACTGAAGTAAACTATTATTTCAATGCTGCTGGAACTGCTTGGGACCCAGTTAAGTTCACATGCGAAAGTTTGAATGCAAGAGAATAGAAAGCAGACTTGCAGTCTATATGTTGGACCCAGATATTTCAAATGCTTTAGCTGCCAAATATATTGCAGTTCCACTTATGTTCCCTATACACCAAATATCTGTCAAAGACTTTGCAGGTGAAGTTGGAAACCAAAGTGCTGACCCAGGTGCAAGAACAGATATTGCTTTAACAACTGCAATGAAACATGCAGATACTATGTTTGTACTGTTCAGACGAACTATAAATGACTATTCTTGTTTCTACAACCCTGGTATTAAATATCATATAAACATAGATGGCAAATATTATCCAAGAGAAGAATATTCTACAGTTGAGGATATGAGGTCATACAACTTGACATTAGATGCTATGAACTTTAACAACAACTTCACAACAACCATTAACCCTGAAATGCAAAGTTCTATTATGCCATATGTGAAAGTATGGACTCATACAGGAGGTCAAAAAACTCAATATACAAATGGAGACCGTTCAAACTTTTGGCTTGGCATTCCATTTGCTGACTCAGAAGACTTTATGGGTGGTATTTCAACTGTTGGTACAGTTCAAATACAATATACTGGTGACAGAGACGGTCCAGATGAATTGAAGCAAAGAAGTTTACAAAACCAATAGCACTTTTCACGGAAGATGCTCTTTTGAAGATTCGTTCGATGAAACCTGCTGGGGCTCCTCAGATTGGCATAACGACAGCTTCCATCGAGCAGATTTTGGCAGCAGGTCAGTAAGTTGTTCTTGAACTGACTTCTCTCCGTCAAATATTGACAGTACGCCAGTTTTGACATAATATTGTATTATAAACTTTCCTTTAGAAATATCGGTCAGTTTTGTTGTTATATTTTTGTCTGCTTCAAGAACTTTCACCATTTCAGTTATACCAACTTTCTTTGCTTTATGAAAATATTTTGGTTCAGCAAAGACTGCTATTCTATAACATTTTCCATTGTTTGTGTAAAGAACTATTCTGTCAATGTATTTGTATTGTTTGTGTGTGTAAACTTTGTTCTGCTTCAATTCGAAGAGATACTCGAATACGTCCATCTTTTTATTCTAAGTAAAATGTCATTTCCGAAAAATAGAAGCGTAAGTGTTTCAAAAGGTTTAATGGCGGTGGCAGATGTGAAGTTAAATTCACCAACTCAAACAAACAGTCAAAGTGTTGTTGTCAATGTCAAAGACAGAGATGTTGAAGTGGGGAAACCATACGAAGACGAAGATGGTATAACAATTGTTCCTGTAAAAGAACAACCAACATATCCTGAAGTTAGCAGAGACTTAAGTTCTGTTGCAGATATTCGAAACGACTACCAACAACTGAAAGACAAACTTCAAACTCAGGAGAAGATTTGTCAAGCTTTAAGTATAATGTTAAACTTGGTCGAACACAACCCTGTAAAAGTGAACTCATATGTCATTGCACCTCATGAAGTTTTGAAAGAACTATTGAAACTTTTGACAGAGGCAGACGATATAAACATCAAAGAAATAGAACCCGACATTAGTTGCTGTGGTGTTTCATATAATGTCATTGACAAGATATACGTTATGAAAGGAGGTGAAACGTTGAACTTAAAATATAGTTTCCCAGACGTATAAAAATATTTGACGACCACAACATTTCATTAAAATTTATTTGCTAAGTAAATGGCAGAAGACATATGGTTTATACTATTACGACTAAAAACCCTGAGTCATATAATTCTATAACAACAAACTTACAAAGTCCTCAAGGACGATATTGTAAACTAACCTTAAACACAATGACGACTAAAGCCTGTTTTGCTCTTTTGACACCAGAAGACTTTGTTGTTGTGAATGGTAAAAAATACTCTTTGAAGATACTTACTCAGATATACCACCAACAGGTTTTGTTGACTTATTTAATACTTTAAGGACGGATGTAACATGTGCTGCAACTAGAGCAGGTTTCATTATGTTTGGATGTCCGACTGAGTTTACTATAAACGATATGAGCTATAATACAAAACTTATTCTGGTTTTTACTACCAACAGTTTCCTATAACAGGAAAAGGTGTCATACAAGGAATGTCTATTCCATTGACATTAAGCACACCAATCTTATATATTGTTTCAAACTTAGGTTCAAAGTGTTATTCGAATGTCGACAGAAACTACTATGACCAAAAGATACTCATGCGTATAAACAACACTTTCTCTGCTGGTTTGCCTATTGTTCATTCGAATGCAGAATTTTCAAGCTTAGTGAACTCAAACACTTTGGCAGTAAACGTTGACCTTAGTTGACGCAAACTTTGTTCCTGTAAAACTTTTATGTCCTATGTATTTGTCAATGACGGCAGAAAGTTTCGAATTGGAAGATGCAACTGGTGAAAGTATTGTATTACAAGAACAACTTCAACAACAAATAGCTCAAGAACAACAAATGCAACAAATGGAACAACAAAGTCAAGAATAAAAAAATATTATTTTTTTATTTTTATAAAAATGTACAGAATAGATGTTTCAGATTTTTATGACTTCCAAGCATTCAGAAATATGTGTCCATTTAGAGACTATAACAAAGCAGTCGAGAATTTGAAACGTTTAGTCATTTATGTTGACTCTGCCCCAGAATGTTATGTCATGAAAGAATGGGATGTTGTCTTTAACAAACCAAGAGCAACAATAGTTTCAGAACAAGAATGTAGACAGAAACTTAAGAAAATAAAAGTCGTACAAGTTGGCATGAAGATGTTAGATGCTTGGGATATCTTATTGTCAAACTTGAAGATTTTTCAGTTCGTGGTATAAAGTTTATACACCTTCTCCAAACTTCTATTCTATCTTCACTGGATATAAATACGAACAAGTAGAATGGAAAGAAAATGTTATAGAAGCTTGGTTAGACCATGTCAAAGAAATTATATGCAATGGAAACGAAAGAGTCTATGAGTATATCTTATGTTGTTTGCAAACATCTTACAACATAAAAGTGCTAAAAATGAAACTGCTCTCATTATAATTGGAAAACAAGGAACTGGTAAGAATACTTTCTTTACAGATATTTTGTGCAAACTGTTAGAGGTTATTCGAACCCTAATATGACAAACTTAGAAAACATCTGTGGCAAGTTTAACTCCTCAATAGAGAATATGAAACTTATAGTTTGCAATGAACTTCAAAGTATAGATACAACAAAAGTTTTGAACTCAGATGCTTTGAAGAGTCTTATAACAGACAAAGTTGGAGTTGTTGAAAGAAAATATAAAGACCAAAGAGTTTGTGAAAATGTTGCAAATTCATTATGGTTTCAAACAATGCTGTTCCGATGAAGTTAGAAATTCTGACAGAAGATATGTAGTTGTCAGAACGTCAGATTCTCATATGCAAGATACAGAATATTTTGACGATTAGCAGAAACTTTGACATCTGACTTTTACAACACTTGTTCTCATATTTCATGACATTAGATATTTCTAAGTTCAATCCAAGACAAATTCCACATACCGAAGAGAGACAAACATTGTTAGAAGCACAAACAAGAGTGTATATGAACTGTTCATAGATGAAACTGACTTTGTGTCATTAGATGAAAGGTCTTTATATGATGAATATAAACAATATTGTCAGAATATGGTTATATGACAGCGTTCTAAACGTAACATTCTTGGCAAATGTCAAAAAGTCTTTTAGACGTACAGAATGGTGTATATACAAAGAAAATTTTTTCTTGAGTAAATTTTAAAAAAATATTTTTTATCCGATAGAAAAGATGGCAAAATTCATCTCAGTAAATAAGTCAAGTCAGGACTTAAAGAAGAACTAGACCCATTCACATATTTGAATGTTTACTTCTACCATTTTGAAAAGTCTTCATTCAGCAAAGTTTGGAACATCGAACCAGTTAGTTTGCTATTGTGACTAAAAATGGTGCGAAATTTGAAGACTTAGACATAGAAGGTTTGTTAACAGTCAAAGAAAGTTTTGACAGAAGGTTCTCAAACCTTAAAGAAGGCAAAGCATACAAAACTTGTTATACCTTATGAACCAAAGAAAGCAGACGACTATGAATATTATGAGTCTAAAAGTTGTAGAGTTCAAGGTAAATTGGGTAAAAAGATTTTAGAGTCTAAGCCAGTGTTTACTCCTAAAGAGGAAGAGAACATTGACATTGACCCAGAAATGTTCTAAAAATAAAATTTTATTTTTACATGTCAAATTTCTTTTTCTCTGGAACTGGTTCAGGTTCTTTCTTTCTCTCTTCTCTTTTTTCTCTTTTCTTTTTCTTTCTTCTTCTTCTCTGGTGGAGATATGTCAAATTTGGCGCAACTATATTTATGTAAGTTCTTTGTCCTTTAATAGCTCATCTATTCTGTTTTCTATTTCATCTTCAAGAACAGCGCATGTCTTCTTTGCATTCTAAGAACTTTTGTTGGACTTCATCTTTCCAATTCGGCGTCATCTCTGTCAACAAGTCTGTCATTGACAAATTTTAAGACTGCTCTTTGTAATGTTTTATGGTTCTTGTCATATTCCCAGAAACAGACTTTAGAACAAATTCACCTTTCTTGTTTACACTATGTAAGATTTTATGGTCGACAGATGTTTGCTGTCAAAAGTTTTGTCTCGAATAATAGATAGCGAAATCGCTAGAACATTTTCTAAAAGATAAAAATTTTAATTTTTCTAAAATATGTTAGAAAAAAAGTTTGACTAGACATTTGCAAAGAAGAAATTGGGAAATGTTATTAAACAAGAACAAGAGGAAGTTTAGAAAATGCTCGTTAAGCATAACAGCACTTCTAGTTCAAAGTGTGTATACATATATACTAACTAGCTTCTATTATGACCGCCTCCCTGTGAATCGTGCTGTTAATAACGGGACTAGATTACACCTCATGCGTCTAGACTTAAGCCCTATGTCACTGTATTCTTACAAGATGACCCTGCACACAACAAAAGAAACTAGATGGAAGAGAACCATTCTATGAGTTAGTTGTTATTCTGTGACGACATTCTGAGCTCAATTTGACCAACACGTCAATTCTGTTCAAAGATTATTTATAAGAGTCTAAGTAGTAGTATAAAGGAATACTGCAGTTGTTAAAGATTGGATAAGGAAGTTACCAAAGAGAGTTTTGAAGTACTAAAGCTGATAAAATGGAAGTATATAATTCTAAGCTTCAAAGACCCAAGAATTAGAGCGAAATGCAGCAGAATATTAGGACACTTCAGAAACAAACAGAAAGAGATAGAATACATTTCGAAGAAATTGCAATCTTACGATTGGAAGACTTACCCTCATAGATGTCTTCTTATCTTAGATGATTTCGCCTCTCATCCTTTGTTAAAGAACAGAGAACAAGATATGTGTCGAATTCTTAAGAAGCTCAGACACTTTAACATCTCAGTTGTCATTTGTGTACAGACAGCAAAGAGTTTAAGTAAGGATGTTAAAAGAATACTTACTGACATAATACTTTTCCCCAGATTGTCCGAAGACGATTTCATGGAACTTATGAAAGAGTCCATGGCAGGTAAGTTTGACAGACACCAATGAAAAAAATAAAATGATATTTATTTTAAATATATAAGATCCTTATATAAAATATAAATATTTTATCGTTTTATTTTCTTGTTTTAGAAATGTTTTTTATTGAAAAATCAATAAAACTAACTCCAAAATAAAATTTTTGATTTAAAGACACTATGATGACACCAGGCAAATCTTCCAAGACACCTATCGTCGGGAATCTAACAACTCTATCAGCAGACAAATAATTGATTGAGGTGATATAAAAATTGAATTTAATTCAATGATCAAACCGACCCATTTGTATCTCAAAAATATAATTTTTTCTATGTCAGAGTTTTGATCCCTTTAGGAATCTTACATATACAGCCTTAATTTTCAAGATTTAATAATTATTGCTCAATGATGTAAAACCGATTCAGAAATTAATATTAGAGTGTCAGAGTATGTTTATTTGCGATCTTTTCTCATTACTAGTAAGTTGTTCATTTCTTGTAGCCCTAGAAATTTATTCTTATAATCCAGAATTTGCTTTATTCGGATATGAAACTCCGGATTGGACACCGGCATCATTCTTTAAAGTTAAGCGCAAAATTGATGTGCCTCTAGAAAAAAATTGGCCAGTATTACGATATATAAATGAAACAATAGAAGATCCTACGCAATACCATTTCTCATATAGAAAACCGAAAGAAACACACGACTACAACTTTTATTACAAGACACTTCAGACTACACACTATAGACTTGAAAGAGCATATGTTAGCTTTAATGGTGCTGTAGGTCTTGATGAAAACACCATTTTCCAACCAACAGATTTTGAAAGGAACGCTACAAATGCAAGTGTTGTAGGCCATTACCGCGAGGTTATTGTTACAGGATATTTATGGGCAACATATAATTTTGGCCATTCATTTGAAGATTTTTTCACTCCACTATTTTTAATTCCTGAAGAAATTAGAAGGAGATCACATATTATTGTATTCTCAATGCCATTTCTCTATAATACACTCCTGGATCTTCTAGGCTTTTTACCAGATCGAAGAATATATTTACCAAAAAATAAAGGTGAATATATTTCGGCTGATATACTCCATTGTTTTGCAAATAGAACCTTTTACATCAGTCAATGGGGGCCAAACACTTACAGATTTAAACGGTTCTTGCATGAAAAATTCGAATTAGATAAAATTACACCATCTGAATACTGCTTTACAAACAGGCCTAAAGGCAAGAGAAGGCATATTCATAATCTTGATGAAGTAATAAATTCAGCAAAAGCAAAGTTCCCAACAATTGATTGGAAATTTATTCCAGATAATCATACAAATCTTATTGAATGCGCCAGGGATTTCAAAAAGATTAAGTTTCTTTTCTCTCCTGTAGGTTCAAACATTTGTAAATGCATTTTTATGGCCGACAATACTGTTGTTATATGCGTTACAGCGAATTTCCCTGAAAATTCTCTGGCAGGTTTCTGTTTAAGTTGTAAATTATTTGAGTTACAATATGATTCAATCTCTGCTCATCATTTAGAATATGGTTCACCAATTAATGTGAACGATGCATTATTCCATATAGAAAAATGTTTGAAAGTATTAGAAACTGGAAATTGGAACGTATATAAATAATAAGAATATTAAAATTAATTTTGAAAATAATCTATTTAAAGTCGATTTATATTCAATTTTTTGAATAAATTCAAAATCGACTCGTAATCCAATAGTTGACAATTTGTAATATCTTTAAAATAGACGCATTATTCATATGGCGCAATGAAATAAAAAAATCAAAATGTGTAAAGCATATTTTGAATATACTTACTATGCAATTTCATACCAGTCTCTATTAAGTTATCGATATTACAATAAATAAGAAAATGATTGTTGAAGTTCTGTGTAGCTGTCAATGTTACATTTGATAAAAAAAATTAAAACATAAATTGAGTATAGCAAGCATTAATCCATTACTTCTAACTTTTTTAACAATTTGATGAAGTTTTAAGAACGACGATATATCTTGTTTGGCCAATTGTACAATTGCTACTTAATTCTGATTAAATTATAAAACATAATCTACATACAAAAATATAGTAATGCAATAATCTCGGGAACATGGCTCTCAATTTTGAATAGTTTACGAATTTCTCAAATAAAATTGAGGGGATTATGTTCCCGAGATTTTTGCAAAAACAGTTTTTTAAAAAGTTCTATAAATTCTTTTACAAAACAATATAACAATATGTATATCTTCAATATTTAGGTCAGGTAAGTGGGGCTTCCAGGCGCGTTGCGCCCTCTAGCCCCGAAGATGTTTAGTATAAATGAAGTTTTTATTCGGAAAATTGTTAGTCTTCTGGTGTGAATTCGGAGGACTCTTCTTGGATAGAGTCTTGTATTTCCTCCTCTTCTTCCTCCTCCATTGCTTCTGGGAAGAAGCCTTCTTCTGGGTCGAAAACATTATATAATGTGTAATTGAATGACACATTATATCTTTCTTTGAGTTCGCTCCTGACAAAGAACTTAGTTCCAGGAATACAGAAGACTTCTGTGCGTTGGAAAAGCTGATGTCCTGGAACGAATTTGGCAATTAGAGACTTCTTTTTTCCGAATTGTTCAGGAGTTTTCATGACGACAGTAACAACATCTCCATCTGCGAGGTCTTGTTGTTGTTCGGAAAGGTAAAGAGCAATGATATGAATGGTTGCTGCGTTGAATTCGAGAAAGTCGAATTCAAATTGTGTTGTCGTATAATATTCAAACCATTTTGTACGGTTGTCTCCGAACTCGTCAACGTATTCATCTTCGTCATATCCGTAACTAAAGACTTGGAATTCGGCAATTCTCTTGTCGAATGACCGTTGGATGTAACGAGGAAGATTTTGACGAACTTGGTATAAAGTTCTCAACATTATAAGCTTAGTAAATGTTGGAAAATACTGAACTAAGACATCGCTAAGCTCAATTGGACTTGGAATTGTCTTAGTAAGTTCAATTGAACTAGTAATTGCTTTGTTCAGAACTTCACAGAACTGAGTATTGTATGTAGCGTCTGGTTGTGTGTTTTCTTCGGCGTCTTTGAGATATTTAGAGCAAATTTGTTGAAGAATTTCTCTTAATTCGCTGTTAGACTTTTTGGTGGTTATTCTAACCGCTGTGCCAGTTCTTGGAGGTTGTGGAGCTTTGGCTTTGGTTAGCGGTTGAGAATTGTTAATGTTTGAATTGTGGTTAACAGCGTTGGCTTCCATTAGATAAAAATGAACTGACCAAAAAAGACAGATATTTAAATATTTGAGATAAACCGTTTTCGTCAACGGTAACCCCCTCTATTTTTTTATTTTATTTAATAGTTACCGTTAGAAAAACGGTTTATCTCAAATATTGAATGAACTATAAACGTTTTTTGTTTTCTATATATACTTTTTTGTCCAACGGTAAAACTTTTTACACAACGGTTTTTGAGAGTCGTCGCCGTTGACTTTTTTGTAGAGCACTCAAAATAGTATAACTTTGTCCGGACAAGTAAGGGTCTATCGTCGCTACAGGAAAAGTTACAGGCATTCCAAGGAAGTATACTTTGAGAAGCCTTTTCTCCATTATAGAATGAGATAGGACGGTTATTTTACAAAACTGACAACACTTTGACCGAGTAGTTTTTTGTGCTGAACAAAAAGTGTCATATAAACATCTGTCAAAAACCGCTTTTTAACTTCACTTAAAATGCCACGTAAGCTACGTAAGAATATACGTAAGAGGAAGGGAGCATTGAAACATCCAATAGTAAAACTGACACCACAACAACAGTTGCAACAACAAATGATGAATGACCCCACTATGTTGCAACAAATGTCAAGCAACCCTATGCTTTTAAACCGAGTTATTGGTGCACAGAGTGGAGGTTTAAGAGCGGCACTTTTAGCGAAAATGGCAGGCTATGGTGGAGCTGCAGACGGAACAGCTTATAACCCTCAAAGTCAAATGAATTTGAGTTCACTCAAAAATCAAATAACAGATGTCAAAAAGTCAAACATAGACATACAGAAACAAATAAGTGAAAACGAAAAGAAACTAGAATATGACAGACAGACAAAGAAACTAAATGAGTTAAACGTAGAGAAAAAGAAGAAAGAAGAACAACTGAAAGAACTAAGTACAGAGGAATATGCGAAAAAAGTGTCAGAAAAAGCAGCAGAAGTAGCAAAAATGGAACAAGATGTTATAAATTTGAAAAACCATACTACTCAATATAAAGTACTGAAAGATGAAGAGATAAAACAAAAAGCCATGAAGACATATATGGATAGCGATGAGTATAAAAAAGAAGTTGAAGCAAATGTAAAGGCAGAAAAACTTTTACAGTTGCAAAACCAAACCGTACAGTATGAAAACTTAGCACAAGAAAGTAAAAATAACGACGCAGCCATGCAAAAGGCAATGAAAAGCGCAGAATATATAAAAGCTAATAATGACTGGTTAGATGCCCAAGCCAACGCTAAAGCAGCCCAACTTATAGGGTCAATAAGGACAAAAATACAAGCGGATGAAGACAGTTCAAATGAAGCTTTAATGAATGCTGACTTTAAGAACGCCTTCGAAGCTCTTCATAGTAAGGTGAAACTAGTGAACGACTTCTCATCTGGAAAGAAACTGAAGTCTGAAGGTTTCGACAAAGAGTTAAGAGAAGTAGCACAAAATATGACGAAAATAACAGATGCAGCAACGAGACAGGCAGTTCAAAGTGCCTATGACGCCGTTAGAGCAACTGTTGTGGAAAGTCAAGAAAAAGAGTTACAACAGACCAAAACAGACCTAGTAAATGCTTTCTTAAAAACGAAAAGTCAGGTAGGACATTATGCTGCAGATGGAACATATGTGCCAGCTGGTGGAACTTATATACCACCAAACCCTCCAAGAGAAGCACCTGCACCAGGACTACCTAAAACATTTACATCGTCACATGGACACAGACACAGGCATGCACCAAAACCAACACAACAACCAACAGTTCAAAATCCAGCACCACAACAACAACCAAAACCAACAGTTCAAAACCCTGCACAACAACCAACAGTTCAAAATCCAGCACCTGCACCACAACCAAAACCAGCACAACAACCACCTCCACAACCAGCACAGCAACCAACAGTTCAAAACCCTGCACAACAACAACCACAAACAGAGCAAGGACATAAAAGAAGTAGAGAAAAAGGAAACCAAGAATTCTTAAAAATGCTTAAGGAAGATTATGGTTACCCAGATACTCTTGACTTTAGTGACAGATATAAAGAAGCTATTAGAAAGTTCAAGGAAGGAAATACTGACCCGAACCTATTTAGCTTTATGGTTGAGCATCAAATCGGATATAATCTCAAACCTGGAAAATACAAGCTCGCTAAGGGATATGATTTAATAGCATATCATCCAAATGACATGAATGAATTTACTCCGAGATATTTGATGTCAGAGCTAAATGATAATTCAACTCTCTTCATGAAACGCGTAAAAAATAGAGACGGAACGAAAGAAGAAAGGTTTATGAGTCCGGATGACTTAGATAGGGAACTTGTTAAAAACGGTCTCGGAATATATGAAATGCCAGCAGATGAGGTACAAGAAACTCCACAGGAAGAAGTTCAGATACAACCAGACATGGAAGAAATAGTTCAGCAACAACAGCTAGAAGAGCCTGAAGGAAACGAACAAGTCCCTCCTTTGGAAACTAACTTCACAGAACTAGATGAAGATTTGGAACAGCCGAAAAATCTTGACCCTCAACAAGAGTATGAGGTGAATATGGAATCTTTCCAAGAGTCTAAGAAAAATTCGGCTGACATAGTAGAAGAATATCGAAAAATGTTCACCGACATACAAAAGACTCCAACATCAGATGAAAATATTCAGCATAGAATGGAAGTACTGAAAGAAAATGTACGCAAATACAATAATCCTTTTTACTTACGACCATATAACGTTCAATCTTTGGCTGAACTCGGTGAAAATAAAAGGTTAAATTTCAACAAAACATATAGAAATGAAACATTGTTTAAAGTTCATTCAGAACCTAACCAATATGGAAACAAACCTACTTTTGTTTCTGCAGACTATGGAACTACAATGAAATGGGGTCATAAAGCTAATCCGGATAGGTGGTTCATAAACTTACAACCTCAATTCCAAGAAGTTGTAGACGCAATGGAAGTGAATGGTGAACCAGATATAACGGGTATTTTCAGCGCGGCTTTAATGCCATTGAAAGATATGAAAGATGCAGATATTTTGGACCAGTATGAAATGAACATGGCTGAGGGAAATATAACACCTGACGTTCTAGAACATTTATCTCAAAGAACTACACAGAACCATAGAGATGGTATATTTGGTGAAGAGTTTAGAAAGAAAGTTAGGGAGAGAGAAGGAAGAGAACCTATTGTACATGACCTTGCAAACGAAAGTTTGCAAAATGTCATAAAAACTTACTTTGCAGACAATGAAATGAGAAGGGATGAATATTTAAGAAAACTCAAATGGACAGTACCAAATGAAATGTTAGTATTGAAAAACATGTTCCATGACAAAATAAAACCAACTACAGAAATAAATGACGCAAGACTGAAACGTTGGGTAAAAGCTTTCCCATTCACAAAAGATATTATTGGTTACATGGAAAGAAAACCAGAATGGCTACAAAAACATATATTTGGAAACGAGCTTATTCCATATGGACAAGCTCTGTTTGAAGAGCTTGAACCGGAAACTCAGGAAAGAGTCATGCAAACAATAAGCGAAGACTCAAATACAAACTATGACAAAATCTTTCTAGGATATAGGTTACCTGAGATGGGCGACCAGAGCCCAAAGGCAAAAAGGACATGGGAAATTTACAACATACTAGGTGAACATGAGGCAAAGATGCTACAACTTGAAGCAGAGGGCAAGTTACCAAAAGCGACACCAAAGAAGAAGAGTAGTAGAACAAAGTGAAAGTAGTGAAGAAGTAACTTCATCTAGTGAAAGTAGTGGCAATGAAGGAAAAAGAAGAGTTAAAGATTCAGTTAAAAACTCAGTCAGGAAGAAAGTAAAGCTTGGTCCGAGTGGGTTCTATTATGACATATAAATCCAACTATTCTATATTTTTACCCATATGAAATGTACGCCGCTCAGAATATAACGCCAACAGTTTTGGATGCCATGAACGGAAATGTTTCCGAATGGTATAACGAATGCGATAATGCCATTAGAAGGTCAGAAATAGTTCCTGGAACTTACGAATATACAACTGCTGTTTCTTATGGAAACGTAGGTGAGTTTGGAGAAGGTTCTTCAACAACAGTAGATATTGCTTGCGACAGGTTTCATATTATTTCTATTGACAACTCATTCTTATACGTGGAACAAGACATTGAAATAAAACCTTCTTCCAAGTTGTCTGACAAGAAAGGTTGCAATGGAATTTTCTATGTCGGATACCAATATGCTCCAGAAGTTTTCATGGGATATAAGATATATTCTAACTCTGACTTAGTTCAAACAGTAACATGGGCAAACTATGAATGGTTCGCTTTGAGAAACTCAGTACAACCACAAGCTAGAGAACAAACAGACCAGTATGCAACTATTGAGAAAATAAGAAGACTTGACCCTAACGTTCCAGGAGTTTATGTTAACCTTTCTGGTTCAGATGGAACTGCTGCCACTAAAGTAAAACTGAAACTTAGAGTTCCTTTGTCATCTTTCCTCATCTTCAGGTTTTTAAGATACTTGCCAAACTGGGCAGGAAAAATTTCTATCGAACTTACTCCAAGCAAAAATAACTTAGTCATTGCACCAACACAAGACCCATTCACTATTACAGACGTAAAGGGAACAAATCAAACGTCATTCGTCGAATTTTGCAAAGACAAAGTTGACTTAGACTTTGGTTTCTCAAACTTCAACAATGAAGTAAACTATTATTTCAATGCTGCTGGAACTGCTTGGGACCCAGTTAAGTTCACATGCGAAAAATTTGAATGCAAGAGAATAGAAAGCAGACTTGCAGTCTATATGTTGGACCCAGATATTTCAAATGCTTTAGCTGCCAAATATATTGCAGTTCCACTTATGTTCCCTATACACCAAATATCTGTCAAAGACTTTGCAGGTGAAGTTGGAAACCAAAATCCAGGAGCCGCAGGTGCAAGAACAGATATTGCTTTAACAACTGCAATGAAACATGCAGATACTATGTTTGTACTGTTCAGACGAACTATAAATGACTATTCTTGTTTCTACAACCCTGGTATTAAATATCATATAAACATAGATGGCAAATATTATCCAAGAGAAGAATATTCTACAGTTGAGGATATGAGGTCATACAACTTGACATTAGATGCTATGAACTTTAACAACAACTTCACAACAACTATTAACCCTGAAATGCAAAGTTCTATTATGCCATATGTGAAAGTATGGACTCATACAGGAGGTCAAAAAACTCAATATACAAATGGAGACCGTTCAAACTTTTGGCTTGGCATTCCATTTGCTGACTCAGAAGACTTTATGGGTAGTATTTCAACTGTTGGTACAGTTCAAATACAATATACTGGTGACAGAGACGGTCCAGATGAATTGAGAGCAAAGAAGTTTACAAAACCAATAGCACTTTTCACGGAAGATGCTCTTTTGAAGATTCGTTCGATGAAACCTGCTGGGGCTCCTCAGATTGGCATAACGACAGCTTCCATCGAGCAGATTTTGGCAGCAGGTCAGTAAGTTGTTCTTGAACTGACTTCTCTCCGTCAAATATTGACAGTACGCCAGTTTTGACATAATATTGTATTATAAACTTTCCTTTAGTAATATCTGTAAGTTTTGAAGTTATATATTTTTGTCTGCTTCAAGAACTTTCACCATTTCAGTTATACCAACTTTCTTTGCTTTATGAAAATATTTAGGTTCAGCAAAGACTGCTATTCTATAACATTTTCCATTGTTTGTGTAAAGAACTATTCTGTCAATGTATTTGTATTGTTTGTGAGTATAAACTTTGTTCTGCTTCAATTCAATAAGATATCCGAATACGTCCATCTTTTTATTCTAAGTAAAATGTCATTTCCGAAAAATAGAAGCGTAAGTGTTTCAAAAGGTTTAATGGCGGTGGCAGATGTTAAGTTAAATTCACCAACCCAAACAAACAGTCAAAGTGTTATTGTCAATGTCAAAGACAGAGATGTTGAAGTGGGGAAACCATACGAAGACGAAGATGGTATAACAATTGTTCCTGTAAAAGAACCAACATATCCTGAAGTTAACAGAGACTTAAGTTCTGTTGCAGATATTCGAAACGACTACCAACAACTGAAAGACAAACTTCAAACTCAGGAGAAGATTTGTCAAGCTTTAAGTATAATGTTAAACTTGGGCGAACACAACCCTGTAAAAGTGAACTCATATGTCATTGCACCTCATGAAGTTTTGAAAGAACTATTGAAACTTTTGACAGAGGCAGACGATATAAACATCAAAGAAATAGAACCCGACATTGGTTGCTGTGGTGTTTCATATAATGTCATTGACAAGATATACGTTATGAAAGGAGGTGAAACGTTGAACTTAAAATATAGTTTCCCAGACGTTATAAAAATATTTGACGACCACAACATTTCATTAAAGTTTATTTGCTAAGTAAATGGCAGAAGACATAATGGTTTATACTATTACGACTAAAAACCCTGAGTCATATAATTCTATAACAACAAACTTACAAAGTCCTCAAGGACGATATTGTAAACTAACCTTAAACACAATGACGACTAAAGCCTGTTTTGCTCTTTTGACACCAGAAGACTTTATTGTTGTGAATGGTAAAAAATACTCCTTTGAAGATACTTACTCAGATATACCACCAACAGGTTTTGTTGACTTATTTAATACTTTAAGTACGGGTGTAACATGTGCTGCAACTAGAGCAGGTTTCATTATGTTTGGATGTCCGACTGAGTTTACTATAAACGATATGAGCTATAATACAAAACTTATTTCTGGTTTTTACTACCAACAGTTTCCTATAACAGGAAAAGGTGTCATACAAGGAATGTCTATTCCATTGACATTAAGCACACCAATCTTATATATTGTTTCAAACTTAGGTTCAAAGTGTTATTCGAATGTCGACAGAAACTATTATGACCAAAAGATACTTATGCGTATAAACAATACTTTCTCTGCTGGTTTGCCTATTGTTCATTCGAATGCAGAATTTTCAACCTTAGTGAACTCAAACACTTTGGCAAGTATAACGTTGACATTAGTTGACGCAAACTTTGTTCCTGTAAAACTTTTATGTCCTATGTATTTGTCAATGACGGCAGAAAGTTTCGAATTGGAAGATGCAACTGGTGAAAGTATTGTATTACAAGAACAACTTCAACAACAAATAGCTCAAGAACAACAAATGCAACAAATGGAACAACAAAGTCAAGAATAAAAAAATAATATTTTTTTTTTTTATAAAAATGTACAGAATAGATGTTTCAGATTTTTATGACTTCCAAGCATTCAGAAATATGTGTCCATTTAGAGACTATAACAAAGCAGTCGAGAATTTGAAACGTTTAGTCATTTATGTTGACTCTGCCCCAGAATGTTATGTCATGAAAGAATGGGATGTTGTCTTTAACAAACCAAGAGCAACAATAGTGTCTGAACAAGAATGTAGACAGAAACTTAAGAAAATAAAAGTTGTACAAGTTGGCATGAAGATGTTAGATGCTTGGGATATCTTATTGTCAAAGTTAGAAGATTTTTCAGTTCGAGGTATAAAGTTCTATACACCTTCTCCAAACTTCTATTCTATCTTCACTGGATATAAAATACGAACAAGTAGAATGGAAACACAGTATTATAGAAGCTTGGTTAG